CCCTGAATTCATCCCTGTCTCTTTCCTTTCCATATGTATAAACTCCAGCATGTGTCCTTCTCTTTTGTACTTCCATAAATCCATGCACAGGTACACTAGTTTCCCCTCCCATCTGGCTTACCTGTGTTGTATTGCACATGAACTCAAACCCATTTTCCTCCTTCCTCTTGTATGAGTTATACTCACCTTTGATACACAAAAATGTCTTCAACTCTCATTCAGTGGCAGATCATTTTTAAGTGTTCTTTGTAATAAAATAACATTTATCACCTGCAGCTGTGAAGGAGAAACTTTCAGTTCTGACAAAGACCAAAAATAAATTTGTATTAATTAAAAAAGGAATCGATTAATCTGCAAGTGTAACCTATAATCAAGAATTCATTGCTTGTTAACTGTATGGGAAGTTTGAAAAATCTGATTAATTTCCATTTAAAAATGTAATTTACATGAATAATGGGAAAATATGGTATATTTTGTATATTTAGTAAAGTAGTTGAATCCGGTTTTAAATGCAAAGCTCAATTCATCCTAACTAAAGCTGTCTTCATAACCTAAAATATGTGTACTGTATATTGTTCAATAATATGATACTACATGCTAAAGTATAGACCCATAACATAATTCTTCTCTCTGGAAGTTGAAACTGCTTTTATCTATAGGCTGAGGGACTACTTTGTACCACCTGAGCCTCCTTATGTATTTGAGGAGTACCTTATGTCCTCACTTCCGCAGAATTTACAAAGCTAAATAATTATTAATTCTTCAAATACGCAGAAGTGAATTGCAACCACAGTGTAGGGAAGAGAGGGAAGCCACATGACATGTTATGTAGACTGTATGGCTTTCTGTCCAAGGAGCAAATGAATCCCAGCTACACAGAAGCTGGACAACCCTGTTTTAACAAATCCTATCAGTTAACCAAATGGCCTTTGATAAAATGCTATTGATGTATGTACTTATTACTTCTTTTTTTTGTTTTTTTGAGCTTGTATGTTGTACTGAATCATTTCACAAGGAAGTATCTTTATTTCTAAGGTCTATTTTTTTTTTTTTTTACTAGGTCATCCAGATAAATTTTGAAGAATTTGACCTGGAGATTGGCTATGACACACTGACAATTGGTGATGGAGGAGAAGTGGGTGATCCCAAAACTGTGCTGCAAGTGTAAGTCTGATTTGTTATTCTCTGTAGAACATAACATAGTATAGTCTTATATGCCTGTATAAATACAATATTTTGGTGATGATGATAAAGATGAAGCTCTTCAGATTGGTAAAGCTGCTATGTATGATAAACTATGTTAATACATGGGAGATAAACCTGGAAAACATGCTAGATTCTTTGTGCTAGATCAGAGGTTTTCAACGTTTTTTGGTTGGTGTACCCCTGGCAGCCGGTTAAGAAGCAGGGAGTCCTCTGGCCGGTCAATGAGCTGGGGGGGTTGTCCCCTGGTGGCCAATTGACAAGTGTGTGTGGGGGGGTGGGGCATGCCCTGTGGGAAAGTCAGAAGCACTGGTGGCAAAACTGGAAGTGCTGGCAGCAAAACCGGAAGTGCTGTCACTTCTCCACACCGCTGCTGCATACCCCTGGGGCCTTCCCAAGTACCCCCACGGGTACACATACCCCTGGTTGACAACCCCTGTGCTAGATATTTCTATTAGTTAAGCTATATACCACTAAAACTTGGTTCTTGTGTAACCAATACAGTTAACTTGTTGAGCAAAGATGATGTATGTTAGTATTTCATACAGATATGCATCACCATCTCAAACACATTTCTAATAAGAATCAATGTGACAAGTGGAACTCTTCCCCCAACCAGCCACAGTGCTGGCCATCCACCTGTCTTTGGGCAAGCCACCTGCCTGCTACACTGTGTTGGTGAATAATGAAGTTGTTAGTTAGGCGGGAGGCTGCCCTTTGAATGCCCAGCTCACATGCTCCGACCTTCCCTTACACGTGTCCCGTGCCTTGCAGATGTTTTCCGTGGCTGTGCAATGACCCAGCCTGAGGTTTGGCCCAACTTGGCACAGTGTTGTGCCTCTTCCATTCTGCCCTATTACAGGCCACACACGTACCACCCCTCTCTCACTGGGGCCTCTCTTGCAGTCTCTATCCCATGACCCTCTTTAGGGACATACTCATGCACCCTACTCATGGAGATCCTCGGGCTTCATTCTTCACCCTTTGGTCAGCTCTGGTGCAGTCTTTGGGCCTCTCCCGTGGCCCTCACCTGAACGGGACTGAGTGATTCACAAAACAGTAGCCCAACTCCACCCCTGTCTCATGCCAGATATTGCACCCCAGCTGTTTCAGTCAGGGTCAGATGACACCCCTGTTTACTAGCAGCTTTCACTCTGCTACCTCTACTGACCTTAGGCCCACTTGTGGCCTCAGGTGCCATAGGGCTTACCTGGACCAAGCCACCCCTTCTCCTCAGGGCTACAACTTGCTCACCTGTCTCACTGGGGCCTCAGCTATTGCCCCCTCTCAGAGCCTCAACTTGCTTGCCCCACTACTGGGTCCACAGCTCTCTTGGATGAGCACCCGGCCCCCTAATCTGGAGGCACACACTGGACCTAACTCCCTTGGCCTAGCACCCAGCCTCCTATCTGGAGGCACACACCAGGCCCTTCAACTCTCAGCCCTCTTCTCGACCTTTCCTGGAGATCACAGGATCTTTCACCCAATGGGCTCAGGTGCCCCTTGCATGCGTGTGCGTGGTCCCTACTACCCTCTCTCCAGGGTCTTACATCCCTAACAGGCTTAGGTGTTCCACATGGGCATGCCTGGCCCTCCTTCCCTCCAATGTTATAATAACCCACTGGGTGGTGGTGGCTGAGGTTATTGAGGTGCCCTGATCCACTTCTCACTGGGGAGGCTAGCGGTCCTTGTATTTACATGGGGCTGCCACATCACTGGCAGTCTCACCAGGCCTCCCTTCCACAGCAGGGTGCAGCTTTCAGTCATGCTCAGGACCAAGAGGTCTCCTCTTTCCCCATAACCTCCCCCTTACCTCTGAGATGACCCAGAGCAGCAAGAGAGCCAGGTGATGCTGCTCCTTTGGCTGCTGGAAGCTGGCTGGCCTTTGTTTGAAAATGGCTACCCACATCAGGCACCTACCAGGTGCCTGCTTCAGCCCTTAAAGTGGCAGACACTAGAGGTGCTCCGCCACTCTACTTCCCCCTTAAAATGGTTCCTGACAGGGGCAGCTTCTGCCTGCTGCCCACAAGCACTTGAGTCTGCTTGCAATAGCCCCTAAGTGACAAGCACCCCACTGGTGCCCCACCAAAATCAGTTACTCCTGAATTTAGGTTTCTCATTTATTTAACCTGCTGCTGGCACCTGGCTGTATAGCAGTGGCCATGTCCAGGATGCCAACTGAAGAAAAGTAGAATTCATTAGTATTTTTTTTAAAACACAGTATTAACAAATTATTGTGTGTTCAATTCCCACCCATTTTTTAAATGTCCAGAAGGCTAACATAATGAACCAATATGCTTCTTTTCATTACTCCAAACTTTTTTTAGGCTTCTTTTTTTTCCAGTTTAAGTAACCCTGTAGATAAAATTATGTGCAGTTTTTGTATGGTCAGTGAGTGCCTCTTCAGATTAAATTTAACATTCCATATCTAATTCAATATTTTTCCTATAAAATAATGGAAAATTGCTTAGAAAAAAATGTATTCATAAGAGAATGAACATTGCTTAGGTATGTATGTACTTGGCAGAAGAAGAAAAAGGACCAAATAGGTTTTATTTAGTATTTTAATAACTTTTTTTATTAAAATGACTTCACAATAAAAATGTTTTTTTGTTTTTATTCTGTTTTCAAAGCTGAAATATAAATATATGAAAATAGGACGAATGAAAAAGGAACTGTGTAAGAAAAACAAAATGAAACTGTAGCATCTTAATTGGGTCTATCATGTCTGTTTATTACTAAATGTAATGAATCAAACAGAAATGTGACAATGTTAAATACTTAGAAGTAGAAATTACAGTGTGAATGAGGTGCCCTTTCAAAACTTCTGTAAGCACCCTTACAGTGCATTGGATGAAGTAAACCACTTTCTGGGATAAATGTGTAGGATCCACGAATTTTAGTGATTTCATTATGCGGGTGTTAATTCTGGAGCTGTGTTGACACATTTTGCATCTGTTATTAAAGCAGGGTTGTGATCCACTTGGTGTCTGTTGATAAAAAGCAGGGAGTCTGCTTCTTATAATGAGCTGATCAAGGTTTGGGCATTGTTTGAAAACCAGGAGTGGAATGGTTGATTGGGAATATTTCTTACCAGGTCCAGTCTTCAAATATAAACTGTACTTGTTTGATAATCTTTCTTATAGGTTCAAGTGTGGGATGATGTGACAATGAGGGCTGTGCAGTCAGTAGGATTTTTCTTTTCATATTGTAGTTAGTTATTGTGGAGTATTCGGGTGGCTTGTGAAACAGAGAGGGCTCCACACAGACATTTCTATGCATCTTTTGTTACCAAAATAACATGCAAACTGATTTACTGGGAGAGACTTGTATGTTCCTTGATTAGTGACTAGCAATGACCAGAGTCCCTGTTCCCCTGAGCACTAGTGGGAGTAACAAGGAGTAACGGCCATAAGTTGACAGAGGGTAGATTCAGGCTAGACATCAGGAGGCGCTACTTCACTGTCAGGGTGGCTAGGATCTGGAACCAACTTCCAAGGAAAGTGGTGCTTGCTTTTACCCTGGGGGTCTTTAAAAGGAGGCTAGATAGACACCTTGCCGGGGTCGTTTCACCCCGGTACTCTTTCCTGCTCATGGCAGGGGGTAGGACTTGATGATCTGCTCAGGTCCCTTCTGACCCTACCAACTATGAAACTATGAAAATACTTTATTAAGACATCTATTCCACACCCTGCTAATGCAGAATTATTCCCTCTGAGTACATTTTTTAACCATTTTTCAACTTTTTTTATGTTCGAAAGTAATAACAGTTCCACCGCATCACTAATGTGTCTATTTCACAATTCAATAGATCATACCTCCTCCTGTCAGGTGGCACTGGTACTAGTGTTCATGTTATAATTCTTAATTCCATTGTATTACACCTGTTTGTAAAACCTTAAACTTGCTGCTTCTCTTTGACATTTATGTCTGTCAAGTATGTTCTCACTTGTATCGCATAATTAGATAGATAGATAGATAGATAGATAGATCGATCGATGATTGATCGATCGATCAATCTACACGTGCTTTTAATGTAAGGATGAGATTACATGTTACAATTAGACCAGGTTTGGAGCTGTGCTACCTACTTCAAGTTAAGTGAACTTCTTGCTGTTCACCTGAGATAAAACCACCAGTCTGCAGTCTTTTGGTATCTCAGGAGGCACTGCTTCCAGGTGGACTAGCTATCATCCAGGACTCTATGGCCCTGGAGTGACAGCTGGCAAAACAGTTGGGCAGCAGGTGTGTGAAGAGGGAAGAGAAAGGGATTAAGGGGTTCAGTGGAACCAAGAGAAGTGGGGAATGAGAAGGAGAGCAGGGGGAAGGGACAGAAGGATGGAAAAGGGAGGGGCATCAGAGGGGGAAATGCGTGGGTGGGTAGCTGCCAGGCTGATGCCTGCTCTAGATCCCTTGAATCACCCCTCAAGCCCCCATTACCACCCTACTGTCGCCAATTGGGCACTCAATCCTGATCCACCTGGCAGGGGCTAGATCTGCACACATGGAGGCAGTCTGGACTGCAGAGCGCCCAACAGCAGGCAGAGGACTCCCACCTGTCCCCCACTCCCCACTTCTGCTACTGCTGCATATCCACATATCTCTTCATACTGGGCATGTTTTCTGTCTGACTGTGGTGGCAGGGCAACAATCCAGGGATCACTGGGGGTGGGGGGGGGCAAGGGAGAAATTCAGGTGGTGATGGGGGTGGTGATTCAAGCAGCACAGGTTACCCATCTCCCTATTTACTCCCTCTCTCCCCAACCTATACTAGGGCTAGCGAGCTGGTGAATGGTGTAGACATGGAGCAGACTTGCTCTATTGCAGCCCCTAGCCACATCCCTGCTTGCCAGCTCTCTAGCTGTGGTCTGAGCAGTGCATGTTAGAGAAGGTATTAGCACTTAACCAACCAGCATTCCATACAATTTGCACTTGCTGAGTCTGACA